ACGTCCACTCAGAACTGCCCGACCGCAGTTTAGCCGTCATTCGGCTATCTGCGGTCGGCAACTGGTTAAAACACCTCAAGGCAACAATATGATGTCCCTGATAGGCCTGCCCCCTCCCCCTCTCCTGAATGGAAGGCTATGCCTTCTGAGATATGTGAGGTGCACATCCCGGGAGGTACAGTCAGGGCTGCTGTTAAAAAGCACGGGACTCCATACAGACCCCCCAAAAAAACAGTTTACTATGCTTCAGTTATGAATGAACACAGTGAGTGATCGTTACTGATTGCTCATTGTGTTCGTTCCGGAAAGGAAGGGGCTGGTAAATGCAACATATTTACTGGACCCTTTCCCCATTCTCAATCCTGAAGAATGCTATGGTGTGCTTACAGCTCCGGACACACCGATCGCTGTACGGGACCTCTGAGTGAGGTCCCGATCATGTGATCTCTGATTGGCCAATCAGTGATCATATAAATAGGTGTAAGCAAGATGTCACTTCTGACATCATTGCTTACTGCATGTGAAATCTGTGAATGATCACAGAGGTCACATGGTACAGGGCTATTCACAACAGCCTTGTACCATGTGACAAGCTGTGACCAATCACAGCTCTCACAGTGTTTCTCAATGGCTGCAGGAATGCAGACAGAGAGAAGGAGAAATGATTGCTTTTACAGCCTTTATGGGTGTAAAAGCAATCAGTGTAAAAAAAAAGAAAATCTTCATCACCCCCAACAAGTAGTACAGTGTCGCCATGGTGACCCTACTGCTAGGGTGATAGTATGTTAAAAAAAAACATAAATAATAATATAAAAAAATAAAAATGTAAAAAAATGTTTTGAAAAATTATAATTTTTGGTTATAAACTAATTTGGGTTATTTTTTTTTTCTACTAAAATACACTTTGGTCAAGATTTATGAAGAAAGATTATTTATTTGCAAAATTTTATAAGAATAACAATTTTCAAAATTTTTGGACTTTTTCATTTATATAGCAAAAAAATAAAAAATCCAGCGGTGAATAAGTACCACCAAAATAAAGTTTTATCTGTCTCAAAAAAATTCTAACAAATTCATATGGGTACAGTGTTGCATGACCGCGCAATTGTCATTCAAAGTGTGATAGCGCTGAAAGCTGAAAATTGGCCTGGACTGGAAGGGGAAGAAAGTGTCCGGACTGAAGGGGGGGAAAGTGTCCAGACTGGAAGGGGGTGAAAGTGTCCGGACTGGAAGGGGGGGAAAGTGTCCGAACTGGAAAGGGGGGAAAGTGTCCGGACTGGAAGGGGGTGAAAGTGTCCGGACTGGAAGGGGGGGGGAAGTGTCTAGACTGGAAGGGGGTGAAAGTGTCCGGACTGGAAGGGGGGGGGAAAGTGTCTGGACTGGAAGGGGGGGAAAGTGTCCGGACTGGAAGGGGGGGAAAGTGTCCGGATGGAAAGGGGGGAAAGTGTCCGGACTGGAAGGGGGTGAAAGTGTCCGGACTGGAAGGGGGGGGGGGGAAAGTGTCTAGACTGGAAGGGGGTGAAAGTGTCCGGAATGGAAGGGAGGGAAAGCGTCCGGAGTGGAAGGGGGGAAAGCGTCCCGACAGGAAGGGGGTGAAAGTGTCCGGACTGGAAGGGGGGAAAGTGTCCGGACTGGAAGGGAGGGAAAGCGTCCGGAGTGGAAGGGGGAGAAAGTGTCTGGACTGGAAGCGGGGGGGGAAAGCGTCCCGACAGGAAGGGGGTGAAAGTGTCCCGGACTGGAAGGGGGAGAAAGTGTCCGGACTGGAAGGGGGGAAAGTGTCCGGACTGGGAAGGGGGGAAAGTGTCCGGACTGGAAAGGGGGGAAAGTGTCCGGACTGGAAGGGGGGGGGGAAGTGTCCGGACTGGAAGGGGGGGGGAAGTGTCCGGACTGGAAGGGGGGGGAAAGTGTCCGGACTGGAAGGGGGGAAAGTGTGTCGGACTGGAAGGGGGGAAAAAGTGTCCGGACTGGACTGGAAGGGGGGAAAAGTGTCCGGACTGGAAGGGGGTGAAAGTGTCTGGACTGGAAGGGGGTGAAAGTGTCTGGACTGGAGGGGGCAAAGTGTCTGGACTGGAAGGGGGTGAAAGTGTCCGGACTGGAAGGGGGGGGAAAGTGTCCGGACTGGAAGGAGGGGAAAGTGTCCAGACTGGAAGGGGGTGAAAGTGTCCGGACAGGAAGGGGGGGGGGGGGGGTGAAAGTGTCCGGACTGGAAGGGGGGGAAAGTGTCTGGACTGGAAAGGGGGGGGAAAGTGTCCGGACTGGAAGGGGGTGAAAGTGTCTGGACTGGAAGGGGGGGAAAGTGTGTCCGGACTGGAAGGGGGGGAAAGTGTCCGGTCTGGAAGGGGGGGAAAGTGTCCGGACTGGAAGGGGGGAAAGTGTCCGTGTCGGACTGGAAAGGGGGGAAAGTGTCCGGACTGGAAGGGGGTGAAAGTGTCCGGACTGGAAGGGGGGGGGGAAGTGTCTAGACTGGAAGGGGGTGAAAGTGTCCGGACTGGAAGGGGGGGGAAAGTGTCTGGACTGGAAGGAGGGAAAGTGTCCGGACTGGAAGGGGGGGAAAGTGTGTCCGGACTGGAAAGGGGGGAAAGTGTCCGGACTGGAAGGGGGGGGGTGAAAGTGTCCGGACTGGAGGGGGGGGGGGGAAAGTGTCTAGACTGGAAAGGGGGTGAAAGTGTCCGGACTGGAAGGGGGGAAAGCGTCCGGAGTGGAAGGGGGGAAAGCGTCCCGACAGGAAGGGGGAAAGTGTCCGGACTGGAAGGGAGGGAAAGTGTCCGGAGTGGAAGGGGGAGAAAGTGTCCGGACTGGAAGGGGGGGAAAGCGTCCCGACAGGAAGGGGGAGAAAGTGTCCGGACTGGAATGGGGGGGGGGAAAGTGTCCGGACTGGAAGGGGGGGAAAGTGTCCGGACTGGAAGGGGGGGGGGAAAGGGGGAGGGAAAGCGTCCGGACTGGAAGGGGGAGAAAGTGTCCGGACTGGAAGGAAGGGGGGGAAAGTGTCCGGACTGGAAGGGGGGGAAAGTGTCCGGACTGGAAGGGGGGGAAAGTGTCCGGACTGGAAAGGGGGGAAAGTGTCCAGACTGGAAGGGGGGGGGGAAGTGTCCCAGACTGGAAGGGGGGGGGGAAAGTGTCCGGACTGGAAGGGGGGGAAAGTGTCCGGACTGGAAGGGGGAGAAAGTGTCCGGACTGGAAGGGGGGGAAAAGTGTCCGGACTGGAAGGGGGTGAAAGTGTCCGGACTGGAAGGGGGTGAAAGTGTCCGGACTGGAAGGGGGTGAAAGTGTCCCGGACTGGAAGGGGGGGCAAAGTGTCCGGACTGGAAAGGGGGTGAAAGTGGTCCGGACTGGAAAGGGGGGGGAAAGTGTCCGGACTGGAAGGAGGGGAAAGTGTCCAGACTGGAAGGGGGGAAAGTGTCCGGACTGGAAAGGGGTGAAAGTGTCCGGACTGGAAGGGGGTGAAAGTGTCCGGACTGGAAGGGGGGAAAGTGTCCGGACTGGAAGGGGGGGAAAGTGTCCGTACTGGAAGGGGGGAAAGTGTCCGGACTGGAAAGGGGGGCAAAGTGTCCGGACTGGAAGGGGGGGAAAGTGTCCGGACTGGAAGGGGGGGGGAAAGTGTCCAGACTGGAAGGGGGGGGAAAGCGTCCCGACAGGAAGGGGGTGAAAGTGTCCGGACTGGAAGGGGGGGAAAGTGTCCGGACTGGAAGGGGGGAAAGTGTCCGGACTGGAAAGGGGGGGAAAGTGTCCGGACTGGAAGGGGAAGAAAGTGTCCGGACTAGAAGGGGGTGAAAGTGTCCGGACTGGAAGGGGGTGAAAGTGTCCGGACTGGAAGGGGGTGAAAGTGTCCGGACTAGAAGGGGGTGAAAGTGTCCGGACTGGAAGGGGAAGAAAGTGTCCGGACTGGAAGGGGGGGAAAGTGTCCAGACTGGAAGGGGGTGAAAGTGTCAGGACTGGAAGGGGGGGGGGGAAAAGTGTCCGGACTGGAAGGGGGGGGGGGAAAGTGTCCGGACTGGAAGGGGGTGAAAGTGTCCGGACTGGAAGGGGAAGAAAGTGTCCGGACTGGAAGGGGGGGAAAGTGTCCGGACTGGAAGGGGGTGAAAGTGTCCGGACTAGAAGGGGGTGAAAGTGTCCGGACTGGAAGGGGGTGAAAGTGTCCGGACTGGAAGGGGGTGAAAGTGTCCGGACTAGAAGGGGGTGAAAGTGTCCGGACTGGAAGGGGAAGAAAGTGTCCGGACTGGAAGGGGGGGAAAGTGTCCAGACTGGGAGGGGGGTGAAAGTGTCAGGACTGGAAGGGGGGGGGAAAAGTGTCCGGACTGGGAAGGGGGGGGGGAAAGTGTCCGGACTGGAAGGGGGTGAAAGTGTCCGGACTGGAAGGGGGGCAAAGTGTCCGGACTGGAAGGGGGTGAAAGTGTCCGGACTGGAAGGGGGCAAAGTGTCCGGACTGGAAGGGGGGGAAAGTGTCCGGACTGGAAGGGGGCAAAGTGTCCGGACTGGAAGGGGGTGAAAGTGTCCGGACTGGAAGGGGGGGGGGGGAAAGTGTCCGGACTGGAAGGAAGGGGGGGGGAAAGTGTCCGGACTGGAAGGGGGGGGGGGAATGTCCGGACTGGAAGGGGTGAGGTAGTGGATGGGTTGGATTATTTCTGGAGAATAAGGATGTCGTTGAGTTTCACTTTAATGAAAAAAAAAAAAAAAAATCAATCCTGATCAGGAGTTTGACTTTCTTTGCCGGAAAGCAGGTTTCTATTTTTCGGTTGCCTCTCCATTGTGGCCACCTTGGGGTGAAGCAGGGCCCCCCCGGCCTCCGTAACCAATGAAACGAAGGGTTAATGTTCTCAGCATGCTTCTCTTTTTTTGCCTCATAAAAATGTAGATTGTATTCAGTGCATTGTGACAGCTTTATTTATTCTCTTTAATTGAGGAAGTGAGTTCTTCCAGGAAGTTTTGTCTTCTTTGTTGATGCTTTTGGGTTACAAAGCTAATAATCCTTTTCTGTACAGAGTGTCTTAAAGGGACAGCCATGTCTGATCTGTCAGTGTCTGATGAAGGCCCATTATGAGGGGTTCCCGCCATCCCTGTGCTGAGTTCCCGGGTCTGTACACCCGCTGTGCCCATTATAAGGGGTTCCCACCATCCCTGTGCTGAGTTCCCAGGTCTGTACACCCGCTGTGCCCATTATGAGGGGTTCCTAGCAGAAGGACTCCACCCCCCCACCTGATTTACTCCACCTCCCTGATGGAAAGGCTCACTCTCACTATCTGAGGGAAGGTGTTTATCTTCTAAATACAAGGGCTTCGTTTCATACATCAGGGTTTCTCAACCAGGGCTCCATGGAACGCCAGGGTTCTCCCAGAGGTTGCTAGGGGTGCTTTGAGCAATGAGCAATTTTTGCCTCATAGCTAAGTTCCCAATGACATCATTGATTTTTTTCTAGCTATCTGTAAGGGGGTCATTCTTCCGATTGTCCACAAGTGTAAGGAGCGTTCTTCCCACTGACCCCCACACTAGTGTATCAGGAGTTGTAGATATAGTAATTATTAGAATGGGTTCCTTGAGAATGGAAAGTTATTTTAAGAGTTGAAAAGGTTGAGAAAAGCTGTCCTAAATGAACGGGATTTATCTCCCAAATAGAAGGGCTCCATCTGTCAATTGGAAGAACTTCATCTCCCAACTGGAAGGACTTCATCTTCTAAGTGGTAGAGCTCCATCTCCCAGATGTGAGGACATCATCCCCAAATGGAAGGGTTTCATCTCACAGATGGTAGGACTATATCTCCCCGATGGAAAGACTTCATCTCCCAAATGGAAGGGCTCCATCTTCCGGACGGCGGTCTTCATCTCCTAAGTGGTAGAGCTCCAACTCCCAGATGTGAGGACGTCATTCCCAAATGGAAGGGGTTCATCTCCCAGATGTGAGGATGTCATCCCCAAATGGAAGGGTTTAATCTCCCAGGTGGTAGGACTATATCTCTCTGATGGAAAGACTTCATCTCCCAGACAGAAGGACTTCATCATCTCCCAAATGGAAGGGCTCCATCTTTCGGATGGCGGACTTCATCTCTTAAGTCAGTGGTTCTCAACCTTCCTAATGCCGCGACCCTTTAATACAGTTCCTCATGTTGTGGTGACCCCCAACCATAAAATTATTTACCCAGTAATTATAATTCATAAGGTCGTTTTACCTCCAATACTGCTGCTTTCAACATAGTAGCTGCTTTTAAGAGAGTAGCTGCTTTCAACACAGCAGCTGCTTTCTACACAGTAGCTGCTCTTTACACATCGGAAATATGTGTTTTCCGATGGTCTTAGGCGACCCCTGTGAAAGGGTCGTTCGACCCTCAAAGGGGTCGCGACCCCCACAGGTTGAGAACCACTGTCCTAAGTGGTAGAGCTCCAACTCCCAGATGTGAGGATGTCATTCCCAAATGGAAGGGTTTCATCTCCCAGATGTGAGGACGTCATCCCCAAATGGAAGGGTTTAATCTTCCAGGTGGTAGGACTATATCTCCCTGATGGAAAAACTCCATCTCCCAGATGGAAGGACTTCATCTCCCAAATGGAAGGGCTACATCTCCTGGACAGCGGACTTCATCTCCTAAGTGGTAGAGCTCCATTTCCCAGATGTGAGGATGTCATCTCCCAAATGGAAGTGTTTAATTTCTCAGATGGTAGGACTATATCTTTCTGATGGAAAGACTTCACCTCCCAGACAGAAGGACTTTATCTCCCATATGGAAGGGCTCCATCTCCCAGACTGAAGAACTTCATCTTTCAAGTAGAAGGACTTCATCTCCCTAATGGAAGGTCCCTTTTGCTCAGCTGTTCTGAGAGCTCCATGAAATTTGCCAAGATTGTTCTGGAGACCACCTTCAGGCCAAGGGAATCTTAGCTGACCTCTGTGAGGACCATCCAAGTAAAGATGAGGCTAATAAAGGCCAAAAAGTAATTATCACTGTAAATAAGAGCAAGCTTCCTAATTGTGACAGTGACTGATGAGACTTGAAATTGTCGTATTTATCATTAACTTCCATCAAACTGTAAATATATTTAAACTACGACTTAATATGAGTTATATCTCTTCTATCAGGAAATGTACCTTGGCAGCCGAGCCCATCCTCATGATTTAACACCCTACCTGCCTAAAAAATTATAATTATCCTCTTGCCAGCATGTTCCATGGTAATCACAGGGATCCACATGTTTCAATGTTACAGCAACATCTTCTTTTACAGGGTGCTCTGGGCTTGAACGCTTTCATCCCAGTAACAAGGACACTTTAAGGTGATCTAAAAAGTTACTTTTCAAATCTGCAGATTTCATTAAAATAATCTCTGGTGGGGCCCCTGGATTCTAGTGGGGCCCCTGGATTCTAGTGGCAGCCCTAGACCCATGAGAGGCTCTGGAAGGGTGGAGGATGGAGTAAGCGGGTCCAGTCCTGAGAGGAGAGAGAGAGAGACTGAGAGAGTACAGGAAGCAGGAGGGACACTTCCAGAACCAGTGAGAGAATGGGTGTTTGGCAGAGGATGGCAGCGGTGGGGCCTGGGGGGCTGGTTGTCAGAGAGTGGCGGTGGCGGGGCCAGGGGGGGTTGTGTCAGAGAGTGGCAGTGGTGAGGCCAGGAGGGAGGCTGGCAGGCAGAGAGTGGCCCTGATAGGGACCAGGGGGGGGGGGGGGGGGGTTGGGGGTACACCCAATTGCAGTGCTGTCTGGGGCACCACAACTAAATACACCACTGGGCCCCAGTACAGTGTACCTGACAGGGACCCGCCCCCCCCCCCCCCACCACCGCGAAAATAGGAAAATTATATTATCACTAAAAATACACAAAAAATCATTATTAGCAGTCAAAGATATAACATAACTCACAACATGATAAATCTAGAAGATAAAACTAATATAAATAAAACTCTCCTAGCACAAATCCCCCCAAGGCCCCCTCCCAGCACAAAATCTACCCAAACTCCCCTCCCACCACAACCCCCCAATCCTCCCTCCCAACACAAATCCCCCCTAACACCCTCCTCCCAGCACAGATTCCACCCTAGTCCCTCCTCCTAGCACAAATCCCAGCCAACCCCCCCCTCTCAGCACAAATCCCTCCTCCTAGCACAAATCCCCTCCAATCCCCCCTCCCCAGAACAACCCCCCCAATCCTCCCTCCCAGCACAACCCCCCCAATCCCTCCTCCTAGCACAAATCCCCCCTCCCAGCACAACCCCCCCAATCCTCCCTCCCAACACAAATCCCCCCTAACACCCCCCTCCCAGCACAAATCCCACCCTAGTCCCTTCCTCCTAGCACAAATCCCACCCAACCCCCCTTCCAACACAAATTCCCCCTAACACCCTCCTCCCAGCACAAATCCCACCCTAGTCCTTCCTCCTAGCACAAATCCCCCCCTCCCAGCACAACCCCCCCAATCCTCCCTCCCAACACAAATCCCCCCTGACACCCCCCTCCCAGCACAAATCCCACCCTAGTCCTTCCTCCTAGCACAAATCCCACCCAACCCCCCTTCCAACACAAATCCCCCCTAACACCTTCCTCCCAGCACAATCCCACCCTAGTCCTTCCTCCTAGCACAAATCCCACCCAACCCCCTCCCAGCACAAATCCCCCAATCCCTCCTCCTAGCACAATTCCCCCCCAATCCCCCATCCCAGCACAACCCTCCCCAATCCTCCCTCTCAACACAAATCCCCCCTAACACCCTCCTCCAAGCACAAATCCACCCTAGTCCCTCTCCTAGCACAAATCCCCCCAACCCCCCTCCCAGCACAAATCCCCCAATCCTTCCTCCTAGCACAACCCCCACCCAATCCTCCCTCCCAACACAAATCCCAACCTAGTCCTGCCTCCTAGCACAAATTCCCCCAAACTCCCCTTCCAGCACAAATTCCCCCCAAACTCCCCTTCCAGCACAAATCCCCCCAACTCCTCTCCCAGCACAAATCTCCCCAGTTCCGCCTCCTAGCACAAATGCCCACCCAACCCCCTCCTAGCACAAATCCCCCAATCCCCCACTCCTAGCACAAATCCCCCCCAACCCCTCTCCCAGCACAAATCTCCCCAGTTTCCTCCTCCTATCATACAAAATTCCCCTAATCCCTCCACAAATCCACACCCCCCTCCCAATTAACATTCCCAGCACAAATGTTTCCACCCTACTGTAATCCCCCTTCCCCAGCACAAATTCCCCCCATTCCCCCCCTCTTAGCACCCATCCTCCACCCCCCTCCTAGCACAAACATTCCTCCCAATCCCCCCTCCTGGCTCAAATCCCCTAAACCCTCCTACTAGCACATATTTCCCCCCATTCCTCCTTCTAGCAAATACCACCCCCCCAAATCCCTATTACACTTCCTAGAAAAGGTGTAGAGGAAAGAGCCGGGGGGGGTGCGCTGTGTTGTGCTCTCCTCCCTGTCAGAACAGCGATCGTCCATGCAGCACATGAGACAGGATCACTGATAGATCATATGGGACTGTACACACACGCACACACAGTATGATTACCGCCCCTACCTCCTCCAAGGGCTGCTCATCTCCGGGCAGCAGGAAATGTGGGTAGGGGGCGGTAATCATACTGTGTGTCTCTGTACAGTCCCCATACGATCTATCAGTGATCCTGTCTCATGTGCTGCATGGGTGAGCGCTGTTCTGACAGGAGGGAGAGCACAACACAGCCTGCACCTCCTCCTGGCTCTTTCCTCTCTGCCACTTCTCCTCTTTCTGCTCCAGGCTTTCCCCTTGTCCTGGTTCTGAATGCGGGCAGGTGAAGGAGCTCAGCGGCCACTAGGAACACCAGGGTACCCCCTGAATCCGGCCAGATCTGTCTCTCCCTCCAGCAGCAGAAAGCAGGAGGGAGGGAGAGGAGGAGAAACCGGCTTTCAGCTTCTGGAGGGAGAGATACACAGGGCATCCTTCTGCAACTGCACTCCCCCACCACCTCGATCCCCCTGCTGTCAGGGCCACCTACAGGAGTACCGGTGGTACCCCAGTGATGGTGGCCCTGCATGAATCAGTCTGCCACTGCTCAACAGGTCCCTTCTTTTGCCCCCCTTAAAATTGCCGCCCTAGGCAAACGCCTTGTTTGCCTCGTGGTAAATACACGGCTGAATATACTGTATGTTACATTATAGTATATGTCACATTGTATCACTTTCTCACTAAATGAATACTTCGCTGTATGTTTTGTTTTTTTTATACAAGTGTTACATATGCATCATTCGGTGCATTATATTAAGAAATGATTACGTAGGTTTTGCTGGATTCTGGGTAAGTGACAAGTACGGGAAGGATGAGAATGATGGATAACTCCCCAGAACAAATATTTCAATAGAGGACATT